TTTTTTTTTTTTTTTTTTTTTGTTTGTTTGTTTGTTTGTTTTTTTAAGATTAAAGAACTTATGTGGCCTTTCCGCTCGGCCGTTTCCCTGCACGGGAGGCAGCCATGGCGCCCAGCCGGAATGGCATGATCTTGAAGCTCCACTTTCACAAGGACTGGCAGCAGCGAGTGGACACTTGGTTCAACCAGCCGGCAGGCAAGATCCGCAGCGCAAGGCCCGGCAGGAGAAAGCGCGCCGCATTGCCCCGCGCCCCGCGCATCCGGACCCATCAGGCCCATCGTGAGGTGCCCCACAGTGTGCTACCACACCAAGGTCCGAGCTGGCAGGGGCTTCAGCCTGGAGGAACTCAGGGTGGCTGGTATCCATAAGAAGGTGGCTCGCACCATCGGCATCTCTGTGGACCCAAGGAGGCGAAACAAGTCCACCAAGTCTCTGCAGGCCAACGAGCAGCGCCTGAAGGAGTACCGCTCCAAGCTCATCCTCTTCCCCAGAAAGCCTTCCGCTCCAAAGAAGGGAGATAGTTTGGCTGAAGAACTTAAATTGGCCACTCAGCTAACAGGACCTGTGATGCCCATCCGGAATGTTTATAAAAAGGAGAAAGCCAGAGTCATCACAGAAGAAGAGAAGAACTTCAAGGCTTTTGCCAGTCTTCGCCAATGCCCGGCTCTTTGGCATTCGAGCAAAGAGGGCAAAGGAAGCTGCAGAGCAGGATGTTGAAAAGAAAAAGTGATGTGCTTTTGGAATATTGCAATAAATTTTCCATAAAGCAAAAAAAAAAAAGAACTTATGTGTATGAGTGTCTGCTTTCATGCATACATGTGCACCCCACATGTGTGCCCAGTGCCCAGGGAGGCCAGAGGAAGACAATAGATGCCCTGGAACTGGAGTTATGAGCCACTATGTGCGTCTAGGGACCGAACCCAGATCATCTATAAGAACAGTCAGTGCTCTTCTTAACAACTGAACCATCTCTCCAGCCCTCATTTTGGCTTTTGAGACAGGGTCTCATGTAGACAAGGCTAGCCTTGAACTCCTGATCCTCCTGCCTCCATTTCCCAAGTGCTGGGATTATAGGAATGCACCATCACACCAGGCTGTGCAGGTGCGTGTGTGTGCATGTGTGACACTGGAGACTGAACTCGGCCTCGCGTGTGCAAGTCAGGTTCTCCACCACTGACTTGTGCTCTGAACCCTAGTCGTGGTTCTTGTGGGTCTGTCAATCATGCGTCACGTTCCTCCGTTCCTCCATCCCCATGCTCCACCACAATAAGAATAACGTTATTTGGTCAGGTGGTGGTGGCTGTGAGTTTGAGGCCAGCCTGGGCTCAAGAGCTAGTTCCAGGACAGGCTCCAAAGCTACAGAGAAACCCTGACTCGAAAAAACAAACAAACAAACAAACAAAAAGAATAACATTATTTTTCTTTAAATTGATCTTTGCTTAAAACCTTGTTGCAGCCAGGTTTGGTGGCACACAGCTATCATCCCAGCACCTGGAAGGCTGAGGCAGGAGGACTGAGAGTTTGAAGCTAGTACAGACCTTGTCTCAAAATAAACAACCCTGACTCACTCTTTACAATATGCCTTTGGCTAACCTCAGAACCCTGTTCTAGTAACTCTGTAAGTCCCTCCCCAACTTCCTTCTTACTCACTTTTTTTTTCTTGAGACAAGATCTCAGGATGTAACCCTGGCTGGCCCTGAACTCACAGAGATCCACCTACTTCTGCTTTCTCAGTGCTGGGCTTAAAGATTTGTTCCCCCTCCCCCTCTGAGCTTATGTATTTATTTACTTACTTATTTTTGAGACAGGGTTCCATAGCAGCCCAGGGCAGCTACACTCCCCAAGTATTCAAGGCTAGTCTTGAACTCTTTGAATTCCTGATTTTCCTGCCTACACCTCCCAAGTGCCCATAGTATAAGTATCTATCACCACATCCACAAATATCAGTTCCAGACACTTGGCTTGCAAACACTTTTCAAGTGGCAGGCCAGAGGGACTGGCGTGGCTAGCCTTCTACCGATTATGTGGTTGTTTTGTACAAGCTTGGTTTTCGGGGGCTGGGGAAGGGGGGTGATCTTAGAAGAGTCCTGCAGATCTGAGCCTTAACCCACACACATACAAAGTTTATCTCATTAAGTTCCCATGCACATATACATATGTGACGTGGGCCTTCCTGTAGACGAGTGTGCTTCACAGAAATTACACCGCACAGTCCAGGCTCACTCCTGCCCAAAGCCAAGGGCACAGGTTTAAGATGCCTTTCTGGAATTTAGGTTTGTTTTGTTTTTCTTATTTAAAAATCTTTTGTTTTCTTTTTATCTCTTCTGTATTTACCTTTTAAACAGAATGGGACTGGGTATTGTACGCCCGTTCCCAAGCCTTGCTGAGTGACAAAACCTAGGGAAGCTTGGGGTTTTGTTTTTGGTTCTGCGTACTTTGGAAGACAAGCCACCTGGGGAATCCCTCCGTTGTTTTGGCTTGTATAGTTACTTCTAAGACTAATACATGCAGAATTAACTACAAGGGATGGAAAAGTTTAGGATGAAACTTGAGCCATCTTAATTTTTTTCCTTTTAAACCTGAAGTTGTATCTCAGAACATTTCCAAGTGACAAATTATTTGGTCTACTAAGGAATCCAGCGCAGCAGCTAAACACTTGAGACCACAAAGTTAGTAGCTACTTTTATGTCTTACAACAAACACACAAACAGAAAGAAATTTTATCTTCGCCTTAGTTTTCCTGCCACGCAAATGTTTTAAATATTAACAAAAATAAAAATATGGAACTCTTCATGAACTTGCATGTCATCCTTTTGCAGGGGCCATGCTAATCTCTGTGTCCTTTCAGTTTTAGTGTATGTGCTGTCCAAGTGGACACTTTAATTAAAATCTTGTATATTTGAGTATGTGTGCATGAATGTGTTTGTACATATATGTGAATGTGTTTATGTATGCATATGTTATGTGTTTATATGTGTGTGAATGCATATGTGTGCGCATATGCTTATGTGTGTGTTTATGTGTATGGATATTATGCATGCGTATATGTATGTGTGTGTGTTATGTGTGTATGTGTCAGGGGCCATGAGGGTTAAGGCAGGTGACATCTAGTGTTCGGATGTCAGCCCACCAGAGGAATGGTCCCCTGCTGGAGGTTAATCCTGTCCAGACAAGGTCTGCAGGGCCATCGGCTCTGGAAACTGCTGCTCACTTTGGCTAAGGTAACTTGGTATCTCCATTGTAGTGTGTAATCTCATGTGATATGTGTATGCAATCTCATGATTGCATCTCGATCTTATTGGCACATATATGTATGGGTGATCATGAGGATGGCCATTTCTATAGCTTTATGGTTTTGATATATAAAATACATACTGGGACATGTTTCCTAACTGGGTCTATTTGTTCCTCAAGGTCTGCGGACATGAAAAAGGCTGCCTTGATCTTTTGCTTGTTGGGCAACTTCCAGTCGGGACCTGTGGGGACTGTGGGACCTCCAGTCAGAGAATTTAGTCACTAGTCAAAAATCTTGGTTCCCATGGTCTAATCTCTGCTCCATTCCGAGATAAACATTATGAGCCAGCTCCCTGCAGTTATCCCCCATGGGGTGGGACATATGGTCAGGAAAGGAGTCTTTCACAGAAGTCACATTTGGAACCTTCAGAGATAAGGGGGGTATGGCATGTCCGAGCTTGTTTGACTCCTAGTCCTCCCTGATAAGGAGACTGGATGTCCCAAATTCTCCTGCAGCTGACCTGAGAAAATGCTAATCTCAGGGGACCCCCAGCTCTAACCCTAAAAGGGCCAATAAACCCCCTGCACCTACTCTTACCTCGATTTATTGATACAGGATTTTAACCTAGGAATGGAGTATAATGCAAGAACTCCCCTTCTCCCTCTTAGAATTTTAAGCCTCCTAAATCAACTTCTTTTGCCTCTTTGTGCTTCCCGGATGTCTTTTTAGCCATGTTTCTCTGGGGCCACAAAAAAAAAAGCTGACAGTGCCACTTAGAATAACTCTTATCTGCTTTATGACCCTGGGAAATTCTAACTTCATAACCTTGCGATTCCCAGAGCGTTTTGCTTTATATTTTTACCTCTTAAGTTCAGTAATTAAAATTTAAAACATAACTTTAGCCCTCCTCACATTCCTTCCTTGAGTTGTATCTTGAGCCAAACCTTGACTCTGTGGTGAGTACCTGTTTATGTCAGGATCTAATAACCATCACCGTGATGGCACCCAGGATAAGAATTTATGTGTCTAGTTAAGGCATTAACCATTTTGTCTCCCATGCCAGGGAGTTTACATTCCAGCCTGTTGAAGATAAGGGGTGACATACTCTCAGGAACTACTTCCTGCTGAAATCAGGACATTATTGTCGGGGCCCAGGAGAGCCAGGAGGGGACTGAAGCAGTTCAACATTCATCAGAAGTATCTGGTTCACTGGCCCGGCTGACCAGATAGGGAGCAATGACATCACTTTTTTTTTTTTCATGAATTTGCATGTCATCCTTGCACAAGGGCCATGCTAATCTTCTCTGTATTGTTCTAATTTTAGTATATGTGCCGCCAAAGCGAACACCTTAATTAAAACCTTGCACACTTGTACATGTATGTGTGCATGCATATATGTTCTGTGTGGACTGGTTCACATCAGTTTTGAGCAAGTTCAGGGCTCTCGGCCATTTGGAACAGTTTGTAGTCAGCACGGATCCTTGGATAGTGTCTGTCAGCCAAATAGAAATCTGCTGAGACCGATTTAGAACGGGGACAGAAGTTAAAGTTTAGGAATGTTAAGAAAATGCTTACCAGGCAGTGGTGGCGCACGCAAGCCCTTAATCCCAGCTCTTGGGAGGCAGAGGCAGGTGGATCTCTGTGAGTTCAAGGCCAGCCTGATCTACAAGAGCTAGTTCCGGGACAGGCACCTGGAACCTGTCTCAAAAAAGAAAGGAAAAAAAAAGGAAATTCTTATATTTGGAACTTTCAGGTCTATTATCCTGGTAGTTGGGGGAAGGGAGGAGGCCCAATACTAGGGCAAAAAGAGAGAGAACAGTCATTGCAAAGCAAGTTCTTTTAAAGAAAGGAACAGTAAAAAGTTGCATCTGTTTATCTTATTAAATCATTAATTAAAAAATTTATTCTTTAATATGAAGCCTGTTAGCAAGGCAAACCTGTCTTCCTTTCTCAACAGGAGACCTAGTAGCTCTAGAAAAAGCAAGTCCTGATGTTTGCATATGAAATGAACTAACAAGGTGCCTGCAGCCTTGGGGAGCTGTTAAATGATGAATCTACAGTTAGCCTAGCCATCAATGCCCTTGGAGATCTGAGGATAAATTTTACCAGGAGGTATAATCCAAATAGTCTGTATATCAATTAAATGACAGAGACTTGCCCACTGTCTAAGTGGTTTCTCTAGGCTCTGGTGGTCTTGATTGGGGGCAGTGGTCAGTCTCTGGCTGGCATGTAGGACATTTAATCTTCAGCCGCCACACACAGCAACACAGCCTTCTGCTACCAGACTTAGGTCTGAGAAATTTTCCTGTAGAGGAGGAACTTGGGGGACTGACCTTACATTGAACAGGCATGGTAGTCACCCCCAAAGCATGAAATATTAAGAAAAAGTTACAGCAATTAGAAGGGTTGCAGAATTATACCTTGCAGGATTTGGTTAAGGAAGCAGAGAAAGTGTTTCATAAGCGAGAGACGGAGGAAGAGAGGAAAAGAAGAGGAGAGAGAGAGAGAGGGGGGGCAGGGGGCAGAGGAAAGAGAGGACAGGAGGGATCATAGACAAAAGAGAAATTTGACTAGAATTTTAGCCGCAGTGGTAGGAGAGCAAGGAAAGACAGGACCTAGACAGATAGGGAACCTGGGCAACAGAAGACCAAAGCTGAATGAAGACAGGCAGAGGCACCCTTGGACAAAGACCAATGTACTTATTGCAAAGAAAAAGGACATTGGGCAAGAGAATGCCCAAAGAAGAAAGGAAGGGCTTCTAAGGTACTGGCCCTAGAAGAAGATGATTAAAGGGGACGAGGTTCAGACCCCCTCCCCAAGTCTAGGGTAACCCTGACTGTGGAGGGGATCCCTATGGATTTTCTAGTGGACACAGGGGCTGAGCACTCTGTGCTGAAACAACCATTGTGGAAGCTAAAGAATACAAAGACTATAGTAATTGGAGCAACTGGACGGAAACAGTATCTGTGGACCACCTTACGAACTGTAGATTTGGGGCGAGGACAAGTGACTAATTCCTTCCTGGTTATCCCTGAGTGTCCCCCACCTTTATTATAAAGAGACTTGTTAACAAGGTTTAAGGCCCAGATCAGGTTTACTCGAACTGGGCAGGAGGTGATCAAAGCCTTTTGTTGACCAAACGAGTGACCTTCACTCCCCCTGCTGTCCTCAATCCCGCTACCCTACTGCCCGAGACTGATGACTCCTCACCTACCCATCACTGCACTGACATTTTGGCAAAAGAAGCTGGTACCCGAAATGATCTGAAGGATCAGCTTTGGCCTGGGAGTCCCAGCTGGTATACGGACGGCAGCAGTTTCGTGGTTGAAGGTAAGCAGAAGACGGAGGCAGCAGTGGTGGACGGGAAGCAAGTAATCTGGACCAGCAGCCTCCCTGAAGGGACATCGGTCCAGAAAGCCAAACTTGTGGCTTTGATACCAGCTCTACAGATGGCAGAGGGGAAGTCTATCAACACCTACACTGACAGCAGGTATGCTTTTGCCACTGTCCATATACATGGAGCAATATACAGACAAAGAGGACTGTTGGCATCTGCAGGAAAAGACATAAAAAATAAAGAAGAAATTTTGAGCCTCCCCAAGGCTATACATTTGCCAAAAAAGGTAGCCAGCATACATTGTCCAGGACACCAAAAAGCTCGAGATGCTGTGGCTAAGGGAAATCGGATGGCAGACCTAACCAGGTGGGTGGACAACATCCCGCTTCTTGTCTTGAAAAGGGGAGTATTTGGGTTCCCTCAAACCCATCCACATCCCAGATGGGGATCCCACAGAACAGAAACAGGCTATGATTTACCAGAGGAGGCCTCCAGAGATACTTGCTGCTTTTCTCAGCATGGCAGTTCAAAGTCCACGAAACCAAAGGTGTGCCTAGGAGCCTTGGAATGTCTCAAGGCACGCGCGTTCTGATGCAACCCTTCAGCCTTGGAACCCTGTAGTGAAGGTCCAACTTGAGAATTTGAGTGTGTGGTCTGATCTCATTGGGGGCCTCCAGAAAATGTTAATTCCACCAGGGGAGAATAAGACCACTACCACAATTTCTGGGCCAGTCTGGAGCTTTATTAAATATTGGCCAGGATGATGGACACTGTATTCATACTTGGGTGCTTACACAGGCAAACCCTACAGGGCTAAGTCCTTCCCACTGTCATCCAATCAGGGGCAAGCATACATCCTGTCGTACTTCCTGCCTACATAATTCCCACCTACATGTGATCAAGTATGCCCTATGCAGTTAGGGCAACCAACCTTGTTAACAGAAGTAAAAACCTGAGACTTGTTATCTTACAGGAGTAATAGCCCCCAGCATTCCAGGAAGTTATCTGTCCTTGGGCAGGTGGAGCTTACAAGTTTAGAGGCATTTTTGTTTTATAAATCTTATATACATAGTACTTAAAACATAACTTCAGCCCTCACAGTGTATATATGCATGTGTATATATATTTATGTATATGTGTATTGTTATGTGTGCATATGTGTGTATGTATGTGTGTATATGTATGACTGTATATATCTATGTGTGTATATGTATGCATGTGTATTGTGTGTGTGTTTGTGTGTATCTGTGTATATATAACCTCAGATATCATTCTTTGATAGAGGAAGGACATTGGTTAATTATAA